ATACAAGTTTGTTTCTTTGAATATTCCTCAGTTACAATGTGAGATCGGTCATTTGTCTAGACATTGTAGAACCTCTTTTCCTTCTAGTGAAAATAATAGTTCTAAGCCATTCCATCTTGTTCATTTTGACGTTTGGGGGCCTACTCCAGTAATTTCTATGTTTGGATATCAATCTTTTATCTCATTTATCGATGACTCTCGTTATACTTGGATTTATCTCATGAAAAGTAGCGATGAAGTACCTTCAATAGTTAAAAATTTCCAATGGTTCAGACCTAAGTAAAAATTATCTGTTCTGATATACGAGAGTAATTATACAATGGGTTAAAAATTTAATTTCTTGAACAAGGTATAGAAACTCAAACATCTTGTTCTTGTACACCACAACAGAATTTTATGGTAGAACGGAAAAATTGACACTTGTTAGAAGATGTGAATGGCACCTTAATAGAATGAAGGTTCCTAAGACATATTGGGATAAAACAGTTCTTACTGCTGCCTATATGCTCAATAAAATGCCTAAGCCTATTCTCGATGGTGTTTATCCATTCATATTTCTCCACCATGCATTTCCTATGCTTTCTCTTCTACCAAAAACATTTGGTTGTGTGTGCTTTGTGCATACCTTAGGGCCGGTTAGGAAAAAACTAGGACCAAAATCCACTATATGTGTGTTCATAGGATGTTTAATCTCTCAGAAAGGATATGAGTGTCACAATCCGGAAACTAAAAGAAAATGTCTCAAAGGATGTTACCTTCTTTGAGAATATAACTTATTCTTCTTTCCAAAGAAATTTGATATTCACTTTCACCTTCATTTTGTACATACCATGCTCTACTTCATATGTTCCTATCCCCACTAAAGTTGCAGATGCATTGGCTCATCCACAATGGAAAGTGGCCAAGATTGAGGAAATGATTGCCTTAGAGAAGCAACGAACTTGGGGATATAAATGATCAGTGAGAAGGACAACCTATGGTTGGATGTTGCTGGGTTTATACCCTATAGCACAAACCAAATAGTTCGATTAAGAGTTACAAAGCTTGTTTGGTGGCTAAGGATTTTACACAGTTATATGGGGTTGACTATAATAAGACTTCTGCTCCTGTAGAAAAATTGAAATCAGTTATCTATTGCAGTAAATAGGAAATGGTCACTCCAGCAATTAGACATGATGAATGCCTTTATTCATGGAGATTTGCAAGAGGAATATATGCGGCATTACCACTTGGATTTTATCCTTAAGGGGTCGTTTGGATACCTGGAAATATATTGTCTGTGAAATATATTACTGGCGTAATACATTACCTGCAAATGGATTGTTACTGTTTGGGTAGTATTTAGATGCAACTTGGGAAATACATGGCTACTGTTTGGCTATGTCTAAACGAAATATGGAAAATGCATTACCAACATTTTATCAGCACTTGCCTATAAACTATTATTTCTTTCTTCCTTTTTTGTCACAAAATTCCACTGAAATGCGGAATTTAAGTCATCATCACATCAATCCAAAAAGATTTTTTAATAATAACATCATCACCATTCCAAAAAGATTTTTTAATAATAACATCATCACCATTCCAAAAAGATTTTCTAATAATAACTTGTACTATTCTAAAATCATCATCACACAACTTCTTACTTATTGTGCATGCCTTTGGCACTTACATGGAATCACATGTCTTCTAACATGATTAGACTTTGCTTTCAACATGATAAGTCATTGGAATAACATGTTTTTATTGTGATAAGCCTTATTTTTATTTATATTTTTAGAAGTCTTTCAAATGTCTATCTATATAATTTCAAATAAGCAATAAATTTACAATACCAAATTAAAAATCTTTATGGTACAAGTTAAAAAATGAGAAGAAGTTTAATTTGTAAACTAGAAAGTTTGGTAATTGCAGTAGAAAATTTTGAGGTATTGGAGGAAACTAAAGAGGTATTTTATTTCAGTTGAGCTTTTACTAATCTCTTATGAGGATTATGCTGGGTGAAATTTTTTATTGTAATTGTATTGTGTAATTTCTTATGTTGGGTGAAATTTTTTATTATAATTGTGTTGTGTAATTTCTCATTGATTAGATATGTTAAGGAGAATGGATATGCTAAGGAGAGAGGGAGAATGGAAAAAATCTAGATGGGCTCTCTTTAAGTCCCTTATGCAAACCAGTTATTAGGGTTCAAGAGAGAGGGGACAGGCTTAGAGAGGGAGGGAGCACCTATGGAAACTGAGTAGGCGGGTTGGCATTTTATTAAGCTAGGATAGGGCAGAGAGACGTACACGAAAGATTTTTAAAAATTACCCATCAAGCGTGTAATAGATTTTTCATCTTTTACCACGCGTAATGTGTTTCATGATTTTTGGAGAAATCTCGAGTAATCTCTTTCTATTTCTTTACGATAATGTGCACCCAAACGGTGGAAATGTCATATTTCCTAGTAATCGATTGTCATGTAATAGATCTTCAGGAACCCTAACTGCCCATAAGGGGAGAAAGGAAAGGTCAATAAATTGAGAAAAGCTATATATGGGCTGAAACAATCACCTCAGGCTTTGTTTGAAAAATTTACTACGCCAATATGTATGTTTGGATTTCAAAAAAGTGTTTCAAATCATTCTGTATTTGTTAAAAGAGATTATTGTTCTACCACAATACTGGTAGGGTATGTGGATGATATAGTGCTCACAAGAAATATTGATCACAAGATTCATAAAGTGAAAGATTTCTTGGGGTTTTTTGACATCAAGGATCTATGTTCATTGAAATACTTCCTTGGAATAGAGGTGGCCACATCTAAACGAGGAATCTTTTGTCTCAAATAAAGTATACTTTTGATCTCTTCAATGGCGATAAGTCAATTCATTAAATAAATTATGATCCTTATAGTTTTAACTTTTAAGTACAAAACTTATATCATATTGCTACCATCTTTTTCTTTGAATGGCCATGTTC